GTCTTGGGCAGCAGGAGGGGCACAGGGGGTTCAGCAGCATGTGCCTGGTTGTCTGTGGCACACTGCCCTGGAACCCGGGGAGCTGCCATTGCTCGTGCTCAATCCTGGGGCTGGTCCTTCCTCACCATCCTGGTGGGTGTCTCCCAGTGATGCCCGCTCCTCTGGGAGCCTACGCAAGACTTGGTTCCCAACTCTTCACCCTTGCCAACCCTCTGCCTCTTCCCCAGTGTCCTCTCTTTCCTTGGGTGAGATCTTCCCCCTGGGACCTGTTTTTTCCCCTCCCTGGCCAGGGGCTAGGTAGGTTCAGAACATTTGAGATACCTTTGTTAGGCAGCTGCACCTCAAATAGCTTCAGCCTCCCAGGTCCTGACACTTTTTGGGCTCACAAGGAAGACTCAGCATCACATGAGACCTGGAGCAGAGTGGGGATGCAAGACCTGGGGCGTTCGCGTCCTTTCCGACCCCGCTGGCTGGGAGCTCTGCATGCTACGGCCTCTTATCAGACGGTCAGGGTCTGGGTGCTGAGTGCTTTATCGAGGCTCCTCCATCGGTGCCGAGAGCCCCCGGGGCTGCGGAAGTTCCCCCCGTCTTCTGTTTGAGGGCGATAGCTGCGCTGAGATAACCCTCACCATCAGATACCTGGGTCCAGCCCCTGTGCATCACTCCTGGACGAAAGTCAAGGCAGCACGTCCCGTCCTCAACGGAGGGTGATGGAGAAGGGTCCCCTCAGCCTTGGCCAAGGTGTAGGGGGGTCTCCAGACAGCCCCGAATTGGGGTGCAACAAGGGGAACCCCCTTCAGCAGCTCTGCCGGGGCTGGATTCGACCAAGCTCCCTCACCGTGAGACTCAACACTTGCTGAGCAAAGCTGCCGACAAGGGTCTCGCGGGACCGCTGGGGATGGATGTGTCATCCAGCTCCCGAGCCAGCCCTCGGCTCCAGCGGTGTCACACAGCGAGTGGCTCCGCTGGGGGGGTCCGGATCCAGCCCCCACCCTCCCCCTGGCTCTTGCCGGCCCGTGCCAAGTCCCCCGCCAGGCACGGAGGCGACTCTCGGAGCCAGGTCCTGCGACAGAGGTTGCGTTCGTCTCGCCTCCAGCCCATTGTCTCGTTTATTTGTTACGGTTGGTCTCCAATTAAGCGTTTGAGCCGTTTGGGGCAGGGGCTGTTTCTTCCCATGCGAACGTGCGGTTCCCGCGCCGCCGGGCTGTGATGTGGCCCAGGACCCGCGGGAGCATCTGCTATTGCAGCAACACTGCCCGGGGACCAACGCGTTTCAGATGGGCCCTGCTCTTCTTTCCATGCTCGGGCTGGTGGCCAGCCCCAGATGGCGAGGAAGAGCCGCCGGCCGGCCCTTTGGACATGATGTTCCCCTCCTCGGGGACCCGCTGGGACCCAGCTTGGGGTTGGGGGCCTGCTGGGGAGACCACTGCTGGCCAAATGTGCCTCCTGAAGCTGTGGGGGCACCTCCTGGATGGGGAAGGGACTGACCCCAGCCAGGGTGGATGCAGGGGCAGGTGGGATGCTCCAACTGGGCTCCTTCAGGGAATGGCCCCATTGCTGTCCCCAACTTTCCCGGGGGTCAGCCCCGGTTGGGATGCTCCTGCTGGCTCGTGCCCCAGGGCTTCGGCACAGGGGACCCCCCGCCCTCCCTGCGGGGGGATGCGGAGCTGACGGTGCCCCATCACCGCACCTGCAGCCCACGGATGGCAAGTCCGGTCTGGCCGGTGGCCCCGGGGCAGCGGCAGGGACCCGTCCGGCCGGGTTGCGCGGCGGCGTCAGTCAGCACATGATCCCCGCCGCGGGGCCAAGGTCTGAGGTCAGTTAGTCACACCCAGGCAGCGGCACTGACTTCACCGCGGGCAGGAGCGGCTCCTCACGTACCGTGCTCCCCCAAGGCAGCGCTGACCCGCCGCTCGGGGCCGCCCTGATGGTCAGACCGCTCCGTTATCGGGGCGCAGGCATCGCTCCCATCGCCACGGGCCGCTCCCTGGAGGCCCCCCCCCCGGCTCTTGCCACGGACAAAATACTTTCTCTGGTCCTGAGGCTGGAGGGGAACCTCTAATGGGGTCCTGCTGGTCCCGCTGGGGAAGCCGCAGCGCTGGTTCCCCACCGGTGCTCGCCGTCCGGCTTGTGGGGCTGGCCCACTCCCCCGAGCACCAGCTGGGTGGGATCGGCCACTGGCTGAGGTCATTGGAAGCCCTTTCCATCTCCCCCGAGTGTGGGACATTCGCAGAGCACGGGGCGACACATCCTGGCTCACAGGAGCCGGGGTGATGGCACCATCCATGGTCGCCTCCAGCCCCAACCCTGGGACCCCAAGGGAAGGCAAGGGATGGAGGATTTGGGAATTTTAGGGTCTTGTCCATGCTTTGGCCGGAGCCACGTTTCCAGGGAAGGAAGAGTTAATCCCCCGCCCGCCACTAATGAGCCTTAACTGGGAATGACCCGACACCGGGGAGAAGTGAACCCATTGTCCTCGCCTTCGTTTGACTGTCTTCCAGAGAGACTCATGAAACGCAGAGCCCGGGCGTGAGTTCCCAATTTATGTCAGGAGGCTCTGATTTATTCTATTTATTTATTTTTGCCATCTGGTTGAGGAGGGACGTTGAACGCAAGCGTGAGAAATCCAGATGTGCACAGCTCCTCGCTGCTGCGCTCCCTGCGCAGGACCTTGTCCCAGCCCCCGGCCCCGCTGAGCTCCACCCGACCCCCCCCACCCCACTGCCACCCCTCCAGACCCCAGGGACAGGTCGGTGGCACCCCTGGGCACCTGCTACCTCCCCGGTGGGGATGAGGTGTGGGTATTTCCATGCAGACGGGCTCAGCCCTGGAGTTCCAGCATGTGAGATGTTGGCCATGTGCTGAGCTGGTAGAGATAGCCATGGGAACATCTGGGTGTCCCCAGCTGTGGGGACGCGGTGGCCCTGGCAGCCACCACGGTGCTGGCATGCGCTGCAGGACCTGGCCCTGTTGCATGACGACCCATCCCAAATGGATGGTTCCTCCAAGGCTGCCTCTTCCCTGCATATTTTTTTTTTGGGAGGGGGCGGGGAGTTGTGTTGGTTTGAGGACACCTTATCTCCTGGTGCAGGCTGGAAATGGGCTGCGATCCCAGGCACCCTTCAGGGCGGTGGCACAGGGGACACCCGGGTGTCCTTTCCCTGGTGGCAGGGTGGGATGATGGCATGATGGAAGAAAGCCACACCACGCCCAGGGCATCAACTGTGGCATCCAGGGATGTCCCCACGTGCCTCTGCCGTGGGGCGGGGCAGCCAGTGCCATTTTGGGGCTCATCCTCTGCCGTGAAGGGACAGCGGGCTGGAGCTGGGCACTGCTGTCCCTGCTGTCACCGTGCTGGTGTGGCACGAGGCTGCTGGCAGCACAAGGCTGCCACCAGTGGTCCCCTTTTGGGGGCAAATGGATGCCGTGACACTTCCTGCAGGAGTCGAGGAACACGACTGGGCAGCGTGACACAGCGAGGCAGAGAAAGAGGGGTTTTGGGGGCGACTTCTGAATTTTTTGCGATGATTTTTTGGTCGGGGCTCCTCCGAGACACGAGAGATGATCACACAGGATCTTAGCTCATCCGCTTGCTGTCTCATGCCTGGGAGGTTTGGCCGGAGGCCCGAGGGCTCCGGAGGAGGAGGAAAATTTCATCATCCCGCTCCAACGTCTCCTGTATAATCAGCCTCTTGTTAACCGATACGGCCCCATGCGAGACGCTCGCAGAGGACCGGGGCGCTGGTGGAGCCTTAGGTGGTCTTGGCCCTGGCGAAGCTTCGCTGAGCCTCTCCCAGGGCTGCCTGGGAAGCGGCTGTGATTTTATCTGCCCCCCCCCAGCACGCTCGCTCGCCTCTCTCTGCCTCTTCCCAGCTGGCTTTGGCGTCTCCCCCAACCCCCAGGCACCTCCAGCATTGCCGGAGTGGGGCTGCCTGCACCACCGTGCTCCCTGCTCCGTGGTGGTCCCCGTGCCATGATGCTCCCTGCATCGCCATGGTCCCCATGTCATCATGCTCCCTTCCACCATGAGGGTCCTCACACCACAATGTTCCCTGCACCGTGATGGTCTCCATGCCGTGATGGTCCCCACCAAAATGCTCCTTGCTCTGTGATGGTCCCCATGCCGTGATGGTCCCCGCACCATGATGGTCCCCACACCACAATGTTCCCTGCACCATGATGCTCCCAGCTCTGTGATGGTCCCCATGCCATGATGGTCCCCACACCATGATGCTCCCAGCTCTGTGATGGTCCCCATGCCATGATGGTCCCCACACCATGATGCTCCCAGCTCTGTGATAGTCCCCATGCCATGATGGTCCCCACACCATGATGCTCCCAGCTCTGTGATGGTCCCCATGCCATGATGGGCCCCACACCACAATGCTCCCTGCTCCCTGAGGGTCCCTCGTACCACGATGTTCCCTGCACCATGATGGTCCCCACACCATGATGCTCCTCACTTTGTGATGGTCCCCGGGCCATGATGCTCCCTGCACAGTGACATTCCCTGCACCCTCCCGGTGCTGCTGAGCAGTCGGAGGGTGTCAATTTAAGCATTCCCCAGGGAAAATGCCTTCACAGCCATCCCATGGGAGATGGGAAGGGAAGAAGGAGCAAGGGGACAGGAGACGTGATCCGAGACTTCTGGGGGAGTGTCTGGGGCAGCTCAGAGGTGTTTTGGGGGAGAAACAGAGGTGTCTGAGGATGAGTGAGAAGGAAACGCAGCACAGAGGAGCCAAATATGGTTTTGTTGGTTTATTTAAAAAAAAGGGGAAAAGAAGTATAAAAAAATAAATATTTAAATAGAATTATATATATATTATCACAAATCTTATTATTAATTATTATTAATTATTATTATTAATAATGTTACTAAAAGTCAGGTCAGAGCACTCGGTGCATGCTGGGCTTCCCACCCAGGCAATAAATAACCCTCGCAGCCCGCTCCGGTGCCAGGAGCGAGCCAGCGCCTCCTGCCACCGGCCTGGGGCCTGTCCCCGTGTCCCCGCGTCCCCGCGCCGGGGCCGCATCCAGTCATGCGAAGCCCAGCCCTTGGCTGAGCCGCTAGTACATTCAAAGCCCTTCCGATGGGAAAAGCACTTTTCCAAAGGGGAGGATGTGCCCTCCCTGCCCCGCTGTGCCCGTGCGGGGGGGACGATGCTTCCCAGTGGGCTCCGTCCCCAGTGGGTGGCTTCGTCCAAGACAGCGGGACCCAGCCCCAGCCACACCAGTACCCCCAGTTTGACTCCTTGTCGGGGAGCCCAGCCCAAAAGTGTGCAGGGGGAGCGTGTCCCTGCGCCCCTATGTCCCCTCCAGCCGCAGCATCCTGGGGTTCTTGGTCCTAGTCCTTTTTCCCAGGGAAGTGGAGGCTCAGGGATGATGCTTGAGGATGTCCGTCGGGTTGCTCTCCATGATGGAGGAGACTGGCCATGGGGGACAAAGTCCGGCCCCATCACCAGCCCCTCACAGCACCCACGGCTCCCTGCACCCCGTGGGAGAGCGGGGACAGCCGAGGCACATCCCGGGACCAGCCCGTGCCCCGCCATCACCTCGGGGATGCACCCCCTTGTCCTGCTGGATGCTGACCCCGGCTTTGCTCCGCACCGGGCTGCAACGTTCACCCCCCGAGGGGCAAATAAATTACCAAAGGGCAGATGGGGCCAGCGCAGGGTCCGGGGTAATAAATAGGAAGGCAGAAGGTCAGGAGGCAGCAGTGGGGGGTGGCACGGCCAGCTTAGCCATCCTCACTGGTGGCTGGGGGGGGGGTGGAGGAGCTGGGACAGGTGCTCACGGGGGGCTGAGATGAGGTAGGAGGACACGGGCCGCCTGGGCGATGACCTGCACGTACTTCCTGAGCACCTGGCAGCCCTGCTGCTTCTTCTTGAAGGTGCTCTTGCCCTTGGAGCTCTCCCCGTAGCTGACGTCCACCTGGAAGATGTTATAGTTCTTGCAGAGGAGGCAGGTGAGGTTGGAGATGAGGCCCCGGGTGGTCTTGGTGGTGTTGTGGAGCCGGTCGAGGAGCTCCTTGGCCGTGGGGTTGAGCTCCTCCTGGTCGCGCGTGATGTTCCCCAGCGAGGCGTTGAGGAAGGCGAAGAGCTTGTACATGGCCACCATGACCTCCTTCCTCTCGCTCGTCCGGTTGACGCGGAAGGCGGGGAAGAAGATGCCGCTGGGGTTGCAGAGCTTGTCGCTCTCGCTGCTGAACGGCTCTCCCTGGCACTTCAGCTGGGAGGAAAAGCGAGCATCACCCCCGTGTCCCCCCCGACCGGCAGCCTTCTGCTGCCATCCCCGGGGTGTCCCCATCCCTCCCCCTTCGTGGCCATCCCCGAGTCCCACTTACGTAGAGGCTGAAGAGGTCCTGGGCGGTGGCGTTGAGCAGCGCAACCTGCCTGCGGGTCTGCTCCTGGACGTTGGAGCGGCACAAGCTGTGGCCGGGGCAGCCGGAGCCGGTCACCAGCAGGGCCCGGCCGGCCACCGGCCGCCGCTGCAGCAGGAGCAGGGCCACGAAGGGCACGACGCCTGCGCGGGGAGAGAGGCGGGCGTCACGGCGGGCACTCACCCCGTGGTGGCCCATGGGGACCGTGACGCCGTGGATGGCCCGGGCAGGTCACCCTGCAGAGCATCCCCCAAGGGTGTCCCCAGCCCCAGGCACCCAAGGGGAGGGCGTCCGGCCAGAGCGGGGACCCTTCCCCCTTGGGTGGGTGTCCGGCTCAGCCGGCAGCCCCCAGACCCCCTGTTTTGCCGTCCCGATGTCCCCGTCCCACTCCCGTCCCCCTCACCTGCCCCCCGGCAGGCGCTCCCCCGCCTCCCTTCCCGGTGGGGCGCCCCACGGCATTCCCACATTTCGCAACCAGCCCGGTGACGACCTGTCGGGTTCAATCAAATATGCAAAACGCTTTCCCCTCCGTTATCCTCGGCCGGGCGCTGCGGGAGCGAGGCCCCACCCCGGCCCCGGCTGACTCAGCGGGGGCGCCCGCAAGGAAACCTGCCTTCGGCATCCCCCCCCGCCTCCCCTCCGGTCCCTCCCGCCTCCGGCCTCAGTTTCCCCGTCTGCGAAATGGGCGCAGCGCCGAGGAGCCCCGGGGAGAGACGCTGCAGCTGCCGGAGACGCCGGCCAGGAAATCCCTGGACGCGGAACAAGGGGACCCTTGAGCCGCCGGCAGCTGGGTCCCCCCTCCTGCCGGCAGGGAGAGAGCGGGGTGCTCCAACCCCCCCATCCCTGGGGACTCCCCCAGAAATCCAGCATCCCCGCTCAGGGAGGCCAAACCGCCCTCCGGAGCCCTGCCGCTGCCCTCCGCATCCCGGGGGCAGGGTACCCTGGGGGGGTGCCCGCTGCCCGGTGACCTGGCTGCCACCGGCGGTGCCCCGGCAGGGTGGGGGGCCCTGTGCCACGCCGCGGGGGGGCTGCCAGGCGAAGTCCCCAGGCCGTGACGAGCGCCGAAGCTGCCCGCACTTGTCAGCGCCTCCGACGTGCCGCCGGTGCCGGGTAATCCAAAACTTGCTTTATTTACCCTGCCCAGGTGGGAAAGGACTTACCTGGGCGTGTTGCCATCCCTGACCCACCGCCGCTCCCCTCCTGCCTGGGACGGGGATTGGGGGGGGACCCTTCCTCCCCACACCCCTGCCCCCCTGGTGCTCCCATGGGAGGCGGATGCCCTGCCCCCCCCCAAGCCCCTCGCTGCATCCCCCCACCAAACCTTCTGCCCATTTCACAGCTGGGCAGAGCGAGGCTCAGCACCCACGTGTGCCAGGGGCTGGGTGGTCGGGGGGTCCCGGGTGGGTGCTGCCCCATGGGGACCCCCCAGCTCTGTCCCTGGGGTGGTGGCTGCTCCCTCCAGCCCCCTCCCCTGCACTTGGCAGCCTCCCCATCCCTCCTGTGCTCCCGGTGCAGCGGCGGCTCACAGCTTCGTGAGACCCAGAAGGAGGAAAAGCAAGAGGTGGGGGGGAAATATTAAAAAAAGCCAAAAAAGCCCAAAAAAAAAAAAAAA